ATATAATAATTTTTAAATTTTTATTTGTTCATTAATATTTTTATAAGATAAATTAGAAAAATATTATATTTATGTATCAAAATAACTAAGTATATTCAATAATTTAAATTTAATTAATTAAATTTTATAATTTAAATTATAATATTAAAATATATTTATGTATCTTAATAAAATACATAAAAAATATAATATTTTTAATTATAATAGTTTTTATTTATATTTTAATGTATAAATATTTTTTAAAAATAGATCACGACTCTACTAAAACAAAATTACAGGTTAAAAAATATAAGAAGAGAAAAATAAAATTAGTCACGAAGTTTCTTGATGATTTTAAATTTTTTAAACTTTTATTTATATTTATAATTTTGATTTTTAAATTTTTATAATTTATATTTATATTATAATTTTAGCCCCTAAATTTAATAATTTTGTGTATTTATAATTTTGACTCTTCATTTAATTTTGTTCTCATTAATATTAAAATAAATCATTAAATATTATACAATAATTTTCTCACATTCATTTTTCCCATTTTTTTATCATTTATTAATTATATAAAATTATTCATTACATACTACTACTTCTGTTTCAAAATATATGAAATTTTGATGAAAAATTTTATTTCTAAATATATATTGTTTACAAAATTTATGATTATATTAATTACTTTTTTACCAATTATACCTTATCTTTTTAGTTAGATTTATTACATAAAGAATATAATAAATTATTAAGAGCAATTTTGCATGAAAATACTAAGAGTACTAATAAAAAAAAATCTAATAAATTTATTAAAAATAATGAAAATTAATACTTATATTAGGCAATAATCTAATCTTAAATGTTATATATTTTGAAACAAAGTGTATATTACAATATCAGTTAATTAACTAGGTCTTATAAAAATATTTTAAAAAATTATAGTATAGTTTTTTTATAGATAATAGATTGAAAGTATAATATTTTATTTGAACAATTTTTTTTAGAATTGGTTATATCGTGTTGTTTTAGAAAGGGCAACAGAGGAAAAAGCAAAGGTATTTACTCTCAACTCTTCTCAATTCAGATAAGAATGGTATTCTATTTCTTTCTTTTTAAATCCATGCATGCATTTGTTTAAAATAAACATATTTCTATTTATATAATCCGCACCTTCAATTATTCCGTACATCATGCAAACACAAACTCAACCTAAGTGTAAATACATAATTAGAGGTGTTCTTCATGTCATCCACAGAATCTACCATTATTATTGGTGTATCCAATCAAGCTCGAAATAGTTTTAATATATTGTATACAGTACTTATTGTCCCTTTTAGGTATTTGAGAATTTTTTTACTCCGAAGTAAATATGGCATGAGCTTTTGCATGAACCTCGATTAAAAAACTTACAACATACTTGATGTAAAATAACATATGAACTCTAACAAAAAAAAGTTATTGAATATAGTCTAAAAAGTTTTTAGTAATGTTTTGTTGTATGATCACTTATAATGAAAACATTTTCACAAGCTTCTAAAAAACAATTCAACTGAAACAAATATAAGCTTAAGAACAGAAGTTCAAATCAAACACTTGTTTTATACTCCGCTCAAATTGAATTAGAACTCTTTCAAGTATTATAACAAGTATTCTTAGTTATCACTTATTGCCCCAACAAGTAAATAAAACCTCTTGGTACAAATCACTTAACCCCTCTTGAGTTAAGAATCAAGTATTCTTTCCCAAAGAGTCAAGTTTATAATGTCTTTCTAGAGAATCAGACAATAAAATATAGGAAATAATTTTCACAAAGAAGATAAGAATAATAAGTTGGTAAATTAAGATGATAATTCACTAAGTGGATAATGTATAAGAAAGTTCACACTTTGTTGTTATAGAATAAGATTTAATTTTTTTAAGTGTTTCTATAACATATTTAGTTACTGCTATATAATTTCTAACTTTTATCCTCATCTTTTTTGTGCGTGGCTTCTCTATTTATGGAGGTTTCTCAAAGCTAGCTGTTGAGAATTTGCATGCCTAATTGTAAATACTTATCCCTTATCCCTGTCTTAGAATTAATTGTACTTTGGACATAATTTATTATAAACATGTGCAATTATTCCTTTCCTTGATTTTGAGTAGTCGACCTCTTGATAACATCATAGTCATCTTTGACATTTGTGATGTCAATGAATATTTTGATATGCAGTTAGACGTTCTATTCCATTGTGTAGTTGTTGTAGTGTATGTGATGATACACTTTTTATTTGATGAATGTTTAGATGTTTTGATACATGATGTGTTCTAATAGAAGTTTTTATTCCCCTTCTTTCTCATGACTTATATAATGTTTTAATATATTATCTAGTTTTAAAAGTAATCTTTACCTACTTTCTAGTCATAAAAACATTTTGATAGCTTGATCTTATTAAACACTATGGTTTTTTATATTAGTAAGTTTTGATCTTTGATATATGTTTATGTTGATCTAATATATGTTTTAGTCTTTTGATTTAATAGAAGTTTAGATTTTCTAATATTTTATGCAAGACAATTCGATGAACATACAGCTTGAAATAGATATTATGATCTTCAAATTTTCCTTATTCCATGCAAGTATATTCAATGTCCAAAAATGGGGTTAAATTTGAACAAAAATCCCATCCCAGCCAATTATCCAAATAAACAAATAAACCATGAGACCAGTTAATAGAGTAAGGGAATTTTACCATAACAAACACTGTTACCATAGCAAGCAAGGTGTGATGTATCAGTGTTCTGTCAATATAGTTGTTGAACACCTTCCTAGATACTAAACCTATTTGATTGTAAGAATATTAGATCTCCATTAAATGTTGCTTCAAGCTGCTAATCAAACACATCATTCAACAACATGAATGAAGATTAATCAAGGTAAATGAATAGTTTAGGGTTTAGGGTTTTATAGTTATCTCTTACTTCCACATCACAGAAAGATGGGATTGCTAGCGAGCCAATAAAGACATCTTTTGGACAAAATTGATAACATAACTCATTACAAACTACTAAAACATATTAGGTTACTGTGGTGTCCCTCTCTTACAAAATTAAGCTCATTATCTAGAAAATTGCATATAAAATAAAAACCAATTGGATGGAATGACTGATTGAAGAACCCTATCTTTACCGCATCAGTAACAAAACCTAACAACCTCGAACTGGGTATAATTTCACGGTGACACCAAAAAACAGTTTAAAGGAAAATATATAATATTGTGAGCACCAGACACTGAACTCCAGTACTCAATATGCAGATAGTGAAATTTAAATATAATGGAGTGGATTAGTTTTTCAAATTCTTTTGTAATGTCATGCCCGTGTGCCATCCTCCTTGGTAATGGTAACCCCACATCATTAGTCTCTGCTATCAACCTTCTACTACAAGACCAAAAATGCTTGAAAAAGAATGATCTCATCATCTCAACAAGTAAGGCATGCTTCTGCATTGCAAACTTTTCCTCTTCTCCATGAATCCATTACACACCATAGCCTCATTTCTCATGATTCTTTTCATTAAAAGAAAAATACAAATACATCAGAAATGCTTTAGGCCAAACTTTTTCATCACAAGTAAGAAAAAACTAAATTGCTTTCATGAGTAAGCAATAAGATGCCATAACTTGTTTTCAAACACAATATTGAAAGATAGAGCAGATGAGTACGGTGGATACTTGAGTCTCTGACTTTATTATTTCTAATCCTTTTACAATGAAAAAACTATTTTGACATTACTATTCATATAAACAATCCATCAATAACTACATTTTATATTATAATAATAATTTTAACTCTCTTTTTTTCATTAAACCTTTTAATAATATTATATTAATAAAGATGGGTTATATGAGATGTTGCTTATAATAATAATTTTAACTCTATTTTTTCCATTAAACCTTTTAATGATGATATTATATTAATAAAAATGGGTTATATGAGAGGTTGTTTGTTTTGAAGGTATCACCCCTCTTTTACAATAATGTTTGGTTGCAGGTTGGTTCAGAATTGTTCCCCAACATGCAGGAATTTAAATATCTGCAACATTATAATTTTCAGAGAGTCAGGAGGGGAAAGAAACTGACAGTATTATGAGAAAAAATAAAATCAAACATCTGAAGTACAAACTAACTAAAACCCAAACAAAAAAGAAAAGAGAAAAAATTAAGCAAGTAGCAGCAATAATTTCCAGTCAAATAAAAAGATAAAAAAGAAAATAGCATTGTGGATTATCATAAACTTGAACCTTATATGTCTGAGCAATATCTACAAAGATTGCTGTATACCAAAAAGAAAGCCAATTACAAAAATGCCCTATTGATTTATGTTTTATTAATATTGATTTTCTTTGTTTTATGCACTCTTTTAAGAAAAAGAAAGCCAATTACAAAAATGCCCTATTGATTTATGTTTTATTCTCATTGGTTTTCTTTTGTTTTATGCACTTTTGATTGGTCACAGGTATGTAAATATGACGTGTCTAGATTACAAAATTGACGCTGTAACATGAATTGTACCTTTTGTGTCCTTATCACGAGATATACTCCTTTGAGAGTGAAAAGTGCGGAACGTCACATCAACGTGCAGAAATAAAAAAAGATCTCACGTGACTTATGATTCGTGAGGAACCTGTATGATTCTGCTAACATGACCAAAACGGCGCGATTCAACCACAAAACCTAAAGAAGGTTTCAGGGCTATGTATATATAAACCCCACACCTCTTCCTATTCTGACAGACTCACACACCAATACAGAGCACACCCCTTGGCACTCGTGTTCCCTTTGCAGGGAACAATACCCTAAAAACAAAATTAAAAAAAATTCCTAATCTCCTTCTTCGGTAAAGCCCTATAGACTCTAATTCTCTCAATTTTACATTGTTCTCTTTCATTGTTTAATCATTTTACATTTGTTGCTTTGATTTCAGAGAGGAATTTGTGGTGTGTTTCGAGGAGATTCAATTTTTGCAGAAAAACAATGGCGGCGGCGAATTCTTCTCTTGCGGTTCCAGCAACAGCATTGAATGGTGTACAATTTGGGAATGCCTCTCTGTATGTCGGGGATCTCGACGCCAATGTGGTGGAGAGTCAGTTGTTTGATCTGTTCAGTCAAGTGGCTCAAGTGGTTTCGATTAGGGTTTGCAGGGACCAGGCTAGGCGATCCTCTCTGGGCTATGCATATGTCAATTTGGCCAATGGACACGACGGTTAGTTTTATCATTCTTGATCAGCCAGTGATTAAATTATTTGTTATCGAGGTCTTGAATTTGATTATAATTAATCTGTTGTTGTTTATATAATTGGTGATCAAAATTTTCCTGAGATAAGTTTTTTTTATTATTGTTTGTATAAGGGGTGATATCAGTTGCTTCCTGAGATAAGTCTTCTGTCTGGTTATTGTTTTTGAATTATGTTGTTGAGAGTTTGATTTAAAAAAAAAAAAAAATTATTGAAGTTTTGGATTTGATCATGATTTATATTTAGATCTGTCTCTTAAATGTTTTGTTTTCTTGGATCTGGATTTTTGGTTTCTTAAATCTGAATTAGATCTGGAATTTTGGTTTCTTAACTCTGAATTGAATCGATCTACTATGATTTTAGTTTTCTTAAACCTAAATTGAAAAAGGAAAAAAATGATCTGTTGATTAATTGTTAATTTCTTTTGTTTTTTTTTCTGCATTTGATTATTTAGATCTACTATTTTTGTAATTGTGAACTTTTTTTTGTTATTATTTCATTTATTTTCTACATTTTATTATTTTTCTTTATAGATATTTTGATTTTTTTAAATTTTTCATTGAAATCTTAATATTCTTATTTTTTTCCCTGATTCTGAATTAAAAAGGAAAAACACAATCTTTGTGTAATTGTTAATTTTTTATTATTATTTTTTTCCCTTTTCTACGTTTGATTATTTTGATATAATGCCACCATGTTTTTGGGTTGATCTGTTTTGAAAAGAGAAAAAACATGACCTTTAAGTAATTTTTATTTTTTAATTATTATTTCTTTTATTTTTCTTTATTTGATTTTTTTGATATATTCAATAGTCTTGATTATTTTAAATTTTTTTATTGAAGCCTTGTTGGATAGGTGTCTAGGGTTTTTGGGTTTTCTTGATTTGAATTGAAAAGGAAATATATAAACCTCAGGAATTTTAAATGTTTTTTGTTATTATTTTTTTCTTTCTCTGCATTTGATTATTTTGAGCTACTCCTCTCTTTATTATTTTTATGTTTTAAATTATGCCTTGTTAGATTAGTGTTTTGAGAATTTGGTTTTTTTAAATGTGATTTTAAAAGGAAAAATCCTCTGAGTAAATGTTAATCTTTTGTTATTATTTTTCTTTTCTTTATCTGCATTGCAACGTCGATCTATAGATGTATTGATTATTTTATTATTAGTAGTAGTAGTAGTATCATCTTGTTGGATATGTGTTTTAGATGTTTTGTTTTCTTAAGGAAAAACATAACCTTTGTGTGTAATTGTTAAAATTTGTAGTTATTAATATTTTTTATTTTACATTGGATTTATTTTATCTATTGTTGTCTTGTTTATTTTAATTTTTAGTCAATTCTTGTTGGAATTGGTGTGTTGGGTTTTTGGTTTTATTAAATATGAGTAAAAATATAACTTTGATCTACAACTTTCTCGGTTACTTTAATTATATTTTTATTGAAGTCTTTGTGTGTAGGGTTTTTGGTTTTCTTAAATTGAATAAGAAAAAAACATAACCTTTGAACAATTTTTACCTTTTATTTTTTATTATTATTATTTTTTTGCGTATTTGATTAGTTTAATCTATAGTTGTCTTGATTATTTTAATTTTTGTTATTAATGTCTTTTGGATAGGTGTCTTTTAATTTTTTGTTTTCGTAAGTCTGAATTGAAAAAGAAAAGAAATATAACCTTTAAGTAATCATTAATTTTTTTTATTTGTTCTTTTCTTTTGCTCTATTTAATTATTTTGATCCACTACTTTCTTCATAATTTTTTTTATTGAAGTCTTATTGAACAGGTGTTATGAATTTTTCGTTTTCTTAAATATGATTCGAAAAGCAAAAACATATAACCTTTGATTTTTTTTATTTTTTTAATTATTATCTCTTTCCCTTTTCTGCATTTGTTTATTTTAATCTACATTGTCTTTTTTTTTTTTCAAGTCTTTGTTGATAGGAGGTATATTGGTTCTTTGTTTTCTTAATCTAAATTAAAAGGGAAAAAACGTAACTTTTAAGTAATTCTTTTTTTTACTATTATTTTATTCTACTACAGTCGTGCTTATTTTTGTAATTTTTTATTCAATTCTTGTTTGATTGGTATGTTTGTTATTTTTCTTTTCTAAAGAAAAGCCATAACCTCTCAATAATTGTTTTTTTTTCTATTTGATTATTTTAATTTACTAACAGTCTTTATATTTTAATTCTAAATTGAGAAGAAAAACATCCTTTGAATGATTGTTATTTTTTTTTAATTTGATTATTTGCATCAACTGCTATCTTCATTATTTTTAATTTATTTATTGAAGTTTTTTATAGGTGTTTTGGATTTTGTTTTTCTTAAATCTGAATTGGAAAGGAAGATATATAGCCTCAATTAATTGTTAATTATTTTTTATTGACTTCTAAGTAACATCTAAGCAATTTTTATTTATTATTATTTTTATTGTCTTTATTGTATTAAAATTTATTATTGATGTGTTGTTGGATTGGGGTCTTGAGGTTTTTCATGTAAATCTAACTTTAAAATGAAAAAGGAAAATATAACCTCAGTAAATGTTAAATTTGTTTATCATAATTTAATTTTATTTTTTTTGCAGTGGATGAGTTTGATCCATTGTTGTCTATTATTTTTAATTTTTTATTAAAGTTTTGTGTTTCTAGTTCTGATAAATCTAATTTTAAAAGGAAAAAACATAATCATTGAGTAATTATTAATTTTTTTTAGTTATTATTTTTTTCCTGCTTTTGATTATTTTGATTTACAACTGTCTTGATAATTTTTAATTTTTTGTTGAAATCTTGCTTGTCTTGTGTTTTTTGTTTTCTTAAATCTAGAGTTAATTTTATTTATTGAAGTCTTTAATTTTTTAAATGAAGTCTTGGATTTGAATATACTTTGTGTAGTTGATGGCTGTGTTGGGTGGTGAATTGAGAAGAAAAATACATACTGTTATTATTACTAATATTATTTAGTTTGTATATTGTGTGTTACCTATTATCTATTTGATTATTATGCTGTAGGTTTTGTGTTTATAACTATGTTTAATGCTATTAGTTTTTAATGTTTTTGTTGAAGTACTGGATTTCGTTATAATTTGTGTGTTGGGATTGAGAGTACTGATTATTGGTGTTGATTTAAATACGTTGGTGAATGTTTGATGAATTTTTGATAAAATAAGTTAAATAGAAAAGAAAACAGTTTTGTGCACTAATATACTGTTTATGGTGAAGTTTTGTTTTTTAGTGATGGTGGAGTTAACTTCTATTTTATAAAATTGTTATATATGTAATGTTATTTTGCAGCTGCTAATGCCATGGAACATTTGAACTTTACTCCCTTAAATGGAAAACCTATTCGGATTATGATTTCTCATCGTGATCCTAGCATTCGGAAAAGCGGATATGCAAATGTCTTCATTAAGAATCTGGACTCAACAATAGATAACAAGGCTCTGCATGACACTTTTGCTGTCTTTGGAACTGTGCTGTCTAGTAAGGTAGCAGTTGACAACTATGGCCAATCAAAAGGGTATGGATTTGTGCAGTTTGACAATGAGGAGAGTGCACAAAATGCTATCAAAAAATTGAATGGCATGTTAATAAATGATAAAAAGGTTTATGTTGGACTCTTCGTTCGGCGTCAGGAAAGGGCTCCTGCAAATGGATCACCACAATTTACTAATGTTTATGTCAAAAACTTTTCTGAAGCATTTACTGATGAAGACCTTAAGCAACTGTTTAATACCTATGGTATCATAACCAGTGCTGTTGTCATGAAAGACTCGGATGGAAAATCTAGGGGTTTTGGTTTCGTCAATTTTGAAAGTCCTGATTCGGCTGCTGCAGCGGTTGAAAAGTTAAATGGAACAATCATGAACCATGATAAAGTTTTGTATGTAGCGAGAGCTCAGAGAAAGGCAGAAAGAGAGGCGGAATTGAAAGCCAAATTTGAGCAACAAAGAAAAGTTAAATTTGAGAAACTACAGGGTGCTAACCTATACCTAAAAAACTTTGATGACAGTTTTACTGACGAAAAATTAAGAGAATTGTTTTCTAAATTTGGAACAACAACGTCTTGTAAGGTATATAAATTTTTTTGTTAGTATTTATCTTTTTATACCAACTGGTATACATATATCATTCATGTATGCATCTGCAGGTGATGGTTGATGCTCTTGGACATAGCAAGGGTTGTGGTTTTGTTGCATTTTCTACTCCTGAGGAAGCAAGAAAAGCTGTGAGTGTAATTTAGTTGGTGTTTTAAGATTATTTTTCTTATAAATTTTAATTTGATTTCTTTTTTCGTATAAATGAAATGCATGGAAAGATGTTTTAAGATTATTTTTCTTATAAATTTTAATTTGATTTCTTTTATCAGATAAATGAAATGCATGGAAAGATGATCGGAGGAAAACCTCTGTACGTTGCAGTGGCTCAACGTAAAGAAGAAAGAAAAGCTTCTCTTCAGGTAATTCTCTCTAAACGAAATTTAAATCATAATATTTATTATTAGTATCTCTTAATATATTTATTAAGAGTATTTTATAATTTATTCTTATACATAGGCACATTTCACACAATTGCAAGTTTCTGGTACAATGGCACCTTTCAACACTGGATATCATCCAGCTACCCCAAGACTTATTCCTCCGCCACTGTACTTTGGTCAAGGAACTGCTCCTTTCATTCCATCACCTCAGCACACTGGTTATGGATTACAACAACCATTTTTATCGGGCATGCGTCCTACATCTGGTGTTCATCCAAATTTCATAGTGCCCTATTACCCTAAGAGAAACAATACATATGGAAGAATTACTGCTCAAAGGGTTGGAAACCTACCACCACCACCACCACCTCCACATATTCAGGTAATCTTTGATTTAAGATTTTGTTAATTATTATTTCCCTTATAGATTATTATAAACTAATAAATTCAAAATTTTGATGATTAGATGAATTTTTCCAACCAAGGCATGGCTGTAGATAATTATAACACCGGTGCAATATCTAACACCCTTGCTTCAGCTTTGGCTTCTGCTACACCAGAAAATCAACATTTGGTAAGTGACTGATTTTATAAATAGTAATTATGTTATTGAAACTTTGTATATATGATTCATTATCATGCTTACTTACTAATATTTATTAATATTAACAGATGCTTGGTGAAAATTTATATCCACTCGTGGAAAAACTGACCTCAAATAATCAGACAGCAAAGGTGACTGGAATGTTGCTGGAAATGGATCAATCAGAAGTGATTCATTTGATTGAATCTCCTGAGGACTTGAAAATAAAGGTGTCTGAGGCTGTGCAAGTCCTTAATGAGACTACCCAAGGTGGAACTGCTGAAGGTGGTGATGAATTCGGTCGCTCAGCTCATTGAAATTAAATGAGTAATATAATTCAGACTTAGATAATTTGAGTATTTTTGAGGTTCAATGAGCCTTTTCTTTTTATCCGGATTAATTTATTGTCTTTTGAGACAGGGTGCCAAGATTTTTTAAGTTTATTATTATTTTGTTTTGGATTGGATTTATAATATTCTAATTAGAGACATATTTATATTATGTTTACAATTAGATATTTCATTTCAGTGGTGAATTTTAAAACAAAATATTTATAAATTTTTTTAACTTTTTTCCAATTTAAAAAGTTTTGGTGTATAAATTATTTAGTTATATTTAAAATGTTTTATGTGAAATATTTATTTATTTTATTGATTATTAAAAAAATTTGAAAAAAAAGTACGACAAATTTTTTATACCAATAATAATTAAGTGAATTACATTCTCTATCTTTTAGTATTTTTACTTTGCTCTAGTTTATTTTTTCATCTTATTTTTTTTGTACTATTCATGCTATTTTTTACATTATCATGAATTTTTAAGCTTTAAAGGCTTATTTTTCAACAAAACTCTTGTTTTCTATTATTTAGATTTGATTCTTCATTGTTATAACTATTTATAATTTATTATAATCAATATTATTAAACTTATTTGATTGAATTTCTTCAATTAAGTCATAAATCAATTTTTAGGTTTATGTTATTGTTTCTCTTAGAAGTTGAATTGTATTTTTAAATCAATTGAATGCAATGAATTTGATATAATTAATTGAATTATGAATGTTTATAATTTCTATGGATTTATTTTGGGGTTACATTACTTACTATTGTTTCTATTTGTTTCAATACTTTATTTCACTACACAATCTTATTACTTTCATTGTTTACTCTTTTATTTAGATCATGGGTTTATTGCTTTCCTTATTTTACAAACTAAAACTCATAAAATTCCCCTTCCTTTACACTTTACAATAAGTTTACAATAATTTGTCAATGTTCCTTGAGAATATGATTTAGGTTTTCACTTTGTATTTTCCTTTTTATTGCATTGTTTGATCATATTTAGACAATAAAATGTTCTTTCACAATAGCAAAACAACTTGTTTATGTCTATTATTTTGGTTTTTTTAAGTAAGACACTAATACAGAAAACGTAAATTTACGTTAATTATAATAATTGATGTCAATTTATGTCAGTTATATTGAGAATCAACGTAAATTTATGTTGAACAAAGCACAAAATAGACGTAAAAGGATTTAAAAATTAAAAAAATGGGACAAAATTTACGTCAAACCAGGCCACAACAAATGTAAATTTACATCGGATGAGGTGGTCCGACGTAAATTTATGTCCAGTATAGCCTAGTCCGATGTAAATTTGATTCTTTTTTTTAATATTGGGATTGTTTTGTCTTATAACCAAAACTTGCAAACATATTTTAATGACAGATCGTCCAGATATTCAAGTTTCTTAAGACAAAATTAAAAAATACAACAATAATAAAAGTTAAATTAGTACAAAGATTAAACTAGTAAAAAAATTAAGTTACCTAAATTTTAAACTACATAATACAATATAATATAACACAAACAATAACCTATAAACTAAGTACTAGAGTTGTTGAATGAAAAACCTTACTCATTGTTCTCTAATTTGTGTAATATCTTGTTCTGGTAATTGAGATAAATCTTAAAATACCTCATTAATTTGACTCCTGTTAAGATGCAATACACATATAGGTAAATCAACTTAATAAATGTTGAAAGCAATTACCTTCATCCAAGAATCAGTTATACCCTAACAAATTATGATTCTTATCCAATACATGATAAAGTAGTCACATTCAAAGGAGTTTGTTTGCTTATTACACTGAAATGAGAAACAAAACATATCAAAATTTAAATTACAAATAATAGTTATGGTGTTTATTTATGTAAATAAATTTCTAACCTAACCATAAATAAATTACAAATTCTTAAAATTTTCTTCACTAATATCGAGTATCATATCCTCTAAATTATCATTTATCCTTTCTTGAAGATTTTCTATTGTTGACATAGTTAAGATTTCTAATATTTCTTCATGTTATGTCCATATTGTATAACTCTTAACAATACCATAAACAAATAAGTGATCATGTATATCTCCAAGTTCATAATGAATTTAATTTAAACAACAAACGCATGGACAATAATATGTTCATTTGATAGGTTTTCCATTTTCACGAACAAATCTCAAAAATTCCTTAACTCCTTTTTCATACTCTTCACTATGACATATATTCATCCAACTCTGATTCATATATACCTATGTTATAAATTTTTATCACTCCTAGAAATTCAAATAGAAATTCATATTTATAATATATATATATATATATATATATATATATATATATATATATAAACAACAAAAAATGTGAGATTCAAAACAACTAAACTATAAAAATAAAAAAATGCAGTATATAAACTGTGAATCCACTCAAACGCATAAATAGATAATCACAAATTATAATAGTTCAATTTCAATAAAAATCTAGTGGAGATATTCATGCAATAACATGATTGAAATTCTCATAAATAATCACATATTTAATTTGAACATAAAAGAAGAAATACAAAAACTAACCTCAAATATTCAAAAAAATGCTCTAAAACTCAAATTCAATCGAAAAAACTCGTCAACCAAATGAAACATAACGAAAGTGTTTTCGTCACTTATTGTGTTCGAAATATATTTTAAGAGGAACGGGTTTGATCAATATCGCCGTCGTCACTTAAAAACTCTTGCGGAGGAAAAAAAAAAAAAAACTAATGATGCTATTAAAACGCACTTTTACATCATTTCAAGATTTATGCTTAACAACAAAATCATAACGCTTAAAATTAATGTTGGAAGCAACTCCCTTTACCTGGAACTAACTTATGCTCAACAAGAAAAGTAGAAAGGTAAGCTTTAAAGCAAGCTTCTCGTTAGATTGAGATGGCATAGAATCTGGAAGTAAAAAATCAATGTACTGAGACTCTTTCTCTCTTTTAATCACTTGAGCGCCGATAATGAGAAGGATAATTAGAAGTGAGAGTAGGAAGGTTTTAATTGGATATTTATAGAGGAAATTGACTTCTCAAGAAGCCTGCGGTGAAAAGAAAAATGAAAATATTTTGACTTATCCTTGTAATATGTAGTTAGAATTTGAAAGGGATAAGGAGGAATAACAATCTTTACTTAATCAGTGGTGAAAGCATGGAGAGAAAGGATGAAGTTGGTTGTATTACTTTATTCATGATTATGGTGTCCAATTGGATGATATGGAGAATAAATCAAAAAGAAGAAAAACTACATTAATAGACAACATCCACTTATCTACTTAATCTCATTTGCATAGGATTAATGACTCTAAATAATGAGTTTTTGTTTAATGACATCTAATTTTACCATTTAGCCTGCAAATTTAGGTCCTAATAAAATAATGAATTTTAATGAGATGTTAATGAGGTTTTAGAAGATGAATTTCAAAAATATTTTCATATATTTAATTTAACATTTTGCTATAAAATAGAAAGTGTTATATAAATTATATTTCGCGAGTAAAATATATAAAAATATTTTCGTTATCTTTAATCTAAAATCTTAATTATATATTTGAATAGATAATTTTACAAATGTTAATAAATTAAAATACATTAAATTTAAATTATTTATTATTTAAATATTTTGTTTAGAGAAGATAATTTAAATTTATTAAATTTTAACTATTTTGATACAATATTTTTAATTACCATAAAATATAAATTTATTTTGATACTAAATAATATTTAATAATAAAAAAAATCAGTTAATAATTTATTAATGTTATTTTTTTACTGCAAATATCAACAAGTGTTTTTTATATTAATTTCATTATAAGATCATAATTACTTTGATTAACATTGATCATAATTTTTTTTTATTCAAAATTTTAGCCAGATTCTTTTAACAACTCTGACCAAATGTCAGTTGACTTTTTTCACAATTAAAAAAAACAGTCAAGATTGACCGAAAGTTTTTTTAGTTAATATTTACAAAAAAAATCATAATCAATTTTATATAACAAATATTATTATATCATCGATTTAAAAAAAAATCTCAATAAACATAAAAAAGATAACTACAACAAATTTCAACTAAAAAAATTAAGATACACATATAACCAAAATAGATTTTTTTTCTTCATTAGCATTCTATTAAATTTATAATCTAGAAATAACATCTAATATTTACCTGACTAGCACACTTTTCTTACATAATTTTCAACCTCACTAATTAATATAATTTTAAAAATAAAATAATATTTATTAAATATAATAATTAAATATAAATATATATATTTTATATAAAAATATATATAAATATTATATATATATATATTCTTTTTAAAAAAATTATTTATATAATTATATTATTAATATATTTTTATAAATATAGTAAAAACAAATATATTTAATATATATATAATATTTAAATATTTATTATATTTTTATAAATATAATAAAATTTAATAAATATATATTTATATCTTTCTATATAAAATTTTTACATAAATAAATTATATATATTATTTAAATATATTTTTAATATAAAATAATTTTAATAAGTAAAAATAATATTTTTTTATAGAAATATATAAATATTTTTATTATATTTTAATATATTTTTACTATATTTATAAAAATATATTAATAATATAATTATATAAATATATTTTTATGTTATTTAAAATATATATATATATATATATTTCATATAATTATACAAATAAAATTAAAAAATATATATATAATATTTATATATTTATATTTAATTATTATATTTAATAAATTTTATTTTATTTTAAAAATTATATTAATTAGTGAGGTTGGAATTCGACCTCTTGGGAACCGAATTCCAATAGTGTAAAAATGATGTTAGTAGGTAAATATTGATAAAATAATGTTATTTCTGAATTATAAATTTAATAACTTATTAGTCAGTTAAATATTGATAAAATGATAAAATGATGTTATTTCTGAATTATAAATTTAATAGCATGCTACTAAATAAAAAAATCAACAAAAATAACCATATCGATATTAATGGTAAAAATTCTTATTAGTATCAACAACAACAAAATCTTAATCTATATGTAAATTAATAATCAAATAATTTTAATAATATCAATGAAAATAATTCACATTAACGCCTAAAAAAATTGACTATTGATAAAAAAAATAATTTCATCAATATAAATAAAATAATTCTAATAAAAGTTAATAAAAAAAGAAATTCATGTCAATGTCAATAAAAAAATAATATCAAGTCATATATACCCAACTTCTACTAAGTCAGCAACATTTAATAAGACAAAGTTAAACAAAATACAAAAATAATAAGAATAATTTGATAAATGAAAAAATATAAAAAAAAAACTCTTTTTAATTTTTAAATTTTATAATTTTTAATAATCAAATTATTTTTATAAATTTTTAAAATATTAATTCTTATAAAACAATTATCCAAATAATCTATTCTATAATAAAATATATATAATTCTTCCAGAAAAATAAATTACTACAAATTTTAGTTCCACATGTAAGATGAAACAATGGATTTGTAAAAGAAAAAAAAATGCATTTATAAATTAATTAAACTTGCATATTTTTATGCAATATAAAACTTCCTATAGAGTGCTACTTTCTTCCTCATGCATACATACATTTTCCCTTCAAAAAAAAAAAAAAAAACTTCTGCACGTTGTATACTTCAATATAAACTCTTACTTGCACAGAGATGCTGAAACCCCTACTAAAAAACTTTTGATATAAGATATTTCACTCATTTGAGTCACTCACCTCAAATTCTCATACTATCAGTAATAACTATATATTATTTTTGCGTTGTGTATTACTATATCATTATATTAATAGAAGATTTGTAGTTAATAAAGGAAATAAAAATACTGTTTATAAAATAAAAAATTTCTTAGTAACTTCTTATCTCACTCTTTCATCTGTACAAACCTAGTATTAAATATAGGCAAAAAGAAAATTATAAAATGATATTATTTATACTTACTGTTTATATTTATTTAATAAAATAGTGACCTTTTTTTTAGTACAAGCTACCCAACTATTAATAGTATAATACAATTCAAATAAAATCTGGGTGAATATCATCTTCTACTTTTTCACTTGGTATGGTCTCTAAGAGGTTGATGTTCCATGGATCTGAATGATCATCCATGTTTTTCTTCAGTTCAAACTCTACATTGTCATTATATTCAGTCATGTAAACTTTCCATTTGGAGACTACCTTACTGCTTGTTGGTTTGCAATTTTCAACATAATTGTTTCTCTTTACATTGTTTTCTGTCAATGATGTAATTCTTGCTATCAGTGGCTCCTCTGCATCAATGTGAAATCACATAAATGACACAATGTCAATATTATTCAATGCACTTATAAATTAATTAAATTATCTGTATTTAATCCATCATAAATATCTGTAATTTTGAAAGGAAAAGGTTTTGATAAAAATTTATTTTATCTTCATTCATATTCAATGCAATATATATCCTCTGAATCACTATGATAAACACCACTGTCTGAGAATAAAAACTAAATTTCATTCAATTGAACTGATAAATAATCACAAATTACACATGTCCCAAGATGTTTGAGAGCTTGGCCTCTCCTTTCCCCAAATCCCACCTCAAAAGAACTGTCCCCCTCCTCCTTCTCCTATTTTTATTCTGCTAGTAACTTCTTAGAGGCAGTTACACTTGCCCCACTAATAACTGCTAGAATAATTAATAACAGCTAAAACAATTCAGTCCTATTATAAAAGCCAAAGTCCTGGTTTTCCTCTTATAATATTTACTTAGAAGAGGCCTAAGACACTACATTACTAAAACACTATTGCAACAATTGCATGAGTAGTAAATGACTTAATGAGTGACATAATTGGTTGTCTTATCTTGTAATTCAGCCACAATTTATCTTTAATGATTTTTAAGAGACAAATAATAATTCGGATGCTGTATATTACATCACTAAAATCATATGATTATTTTTTTACTTTTGTTATTCCCTAAAGCTGAAGAAGTTAAAAACTCACAAATAAAGTAACAAGCCAATAATTCTCACATTTTACTGCTCTTCAACTAAGTGCAATAAAAAGTGCTGTGAACCATCAAAACAAATTGAAACATACAGGAACACAAATTGAAATATACGGAACGTGGAATAAAGGAATATGCACCTTGAGAATTATGAACAAAGGACCTGTTGAAAAACTTGTCACTTCCTGCAGTAGTTTCCTCCACCACCCTGCGTTTCTTGAACATACCCTTCTGCAACTCAGTAACAACAAGTGGCTCACAATCATCTCCTGTTCAATTCAAACCACCACCAAGTTTAGAGCTTATTTTTTATACAAAATCACTGTAACATAACATCAATTAAAAATAAATATAAATGACATCTTTCAAAATAGTACAAAAGCTTTGCATATATATATATATATATATATATATATATATATATATATATAAAAGAATGCACTTATTTCAAAAATAAAAAATGTATTTTTTATTTTACTATTCATTTTTTTTTGTTACAGTAAAAAAATAACAATTCATCTTAATTATTATATTACAGAAAAATTAAATGGAAAGGATAAGAAATAAATCCCTATGATCCTTGCTCTCTGTATATATGAATTAATATTTAAGTTCCTCTTTAAAATTCAAAGTTAATTTATATTCATTCTTAGATATTTTCTGCATAAATTTTTACCATAATCACAAGTCTTAACCAACAATGATATGAGATTAAATGACCATATATAATCGTCTTAAACTGTGAATACATAAGTATAAAAATCTCAATTAAATTATAAAATTTAATAACTTTTAATTTCCACAACACGTGATTTCAGACTGTGATTGGCAATCACAATTATAAAAACGAATGCTTTTGAGTTGTCCACAACAGCAACCAGCCAATTTCAATTATACAAAATGCTGCAGTTCATTCAACTAATTTCAATTTTCAATTTTTATTTTGATTTTTAAGAATTATTTCGTCAAATAGTTGTGAGGTATGGAATGTAGAAAAAATAATAGATGTACCTCATCGTTGTGCATTGGTTGGAGATCACATAAATGATAAAAGACACACCAATAATTAAAATACTTGCTTAATTTTTTCTTATATTTTTGGTACAAACAAAAAGTTCCACCTGTCATTCCCACTAAAGCTGCCATATCCACAATCCACAAAATCAAAATTTAGCACAAAGCCAGACTATATTTTAGAAAGTTTTAAGGCAGAAAAATAAATAAAATTTAACTAATTTCAAATATTGAATATTGGTGTAAAACAAACCATCGTGATCTTGTTGTGGCTCCTCGAGAGTGTGATGATCCTCTTGGTCGAGGTATGCGGACCAATCGGTCCTCTTCTTTTGAAGGTTGACTTCGCCGTCGGGGATTTCCGGCGACGGATCTAGGGTTTCGGCGAGAGGCCATTCTCCGTCATCGATGGACTTGCGCGACATGTTGAAGTCCTGAACGAACTTGCGAACGTCCTTGGCCATGAATCCCTGGGCAAAGACTCTTCGAACCGATTGCTTCTGATTGCAGATCGCGCAATTCCATTTGTTGCTGCATTTCTTCTTCTGCTTCACCTTAACAGATTCACGAAAAAATGAGATTCGAATTAGAATTAGAATGAGAGAGAGAGAGAGAGAGAGAGAGAGAGAGAGAGAGAGAGAATGCCTGCATGGTGGAGCATTGGCAGCATTGGAGAGCGATGAAGAGCGTCGACATTGGATGCGAAAAGAGTCTCTGATCTGGGGACAATAATTGGGGAAATTTATGTGTTTGGTTTGGCGCCTAATTTTTTAAAAGTTCGAGGCTTTGGCCTTTGGGTTCCTTATACGCGGGAATAGAGGTTTGAAAATAAATAGTTTATATTTAAATATTTTTCATTTTCGAAGTGACAGAGGTAATATTTGAAAAAAATATTTTATAGAAAATTCATTTGAAAATATTTTAGTTCAAATTTAAATTTGGGCTTTGAAAATTTAATTCATTCGAACTTTAATGGGTTGATATAGTAGTTAAGATTACTACATTTAAGAAATTGTTAGTTTTCATATTTTGTCTAATTTTTGTCCAAAAAGACGTATTAATAAATTAAAAGAATAAAATATATTATAAATTATGTTTAACCCCATACATATAATATATATATATATATATATATATATATATATATATATATATATATAGATAAAACGTACTTTTGTCATTCTCAAACAATTTCAAATTAGATAAATTCTATTAAAAAATACTAGTTAAGTTTTAAAAAGTGCACTGATTATAATAAAGTATTAACTCTAAGATTTAAGGTATAAATATCGGTAAACGAAGACTTCAAGTTTTTTAGATAATTTAGCTTCTATACATTTATATTGTAGTATGCTGATTCTAGGTTTTTTTTTTTTGAAAAAAAAATAAAAATACTTATATTATTAAAATATTATTTGAAGATATGACATGAGATCATTGAAATATATATTATAATTTATATAACAAATTATTATATTAAAATATAATTTATTTTTATTGATATAACTTGAATTTTAAAAATATTATTTTATTATTTTTGTTAAACTTCTTTGAATAAATTGTTTTTATGCTGGGAAAAGGCAAATCTTCCCATAGCCCATATAACTAACAAAATTCCTTTTTATTAAAACAAAATCATTCAAATAATATAGAAGTGATTAAAATTTTAGAAAATTTTATATATTTTCGTAACTTGTATTAAAAGTGTGATAATTAGTCATGAGAATAACATAAAATTTTATAAAAAAAATTATTATGTATTTTTATTTTAAGTGTTTAAATTTTTTAAAATATTAAAAAAATTTCACAAGACATATTTTATTCGTATTTGTTATTATTTATTATTATCTAAATTTTATGTTGATAGTTCTAAATTTTAATTTTTTAATATAATGTGTCAAAACATATTAATAAGTTGTTAATTATTGATAAACAAATATTTATCTAATTATTAATTTTATTATAAAATAATTTTTAAAAAACAACAAACTAATTATTTAAAAATAAATGTGGTAGGTTAACTCATTTTTTAGTGGGAAAAGTTAAGATATGTAACTCATCTTATAACAAGGGAGTCATCTTGTTCTATTTTTAGCAATTTAAAATGGGCAAAAATAGGATAGACTAATTCATTTTGTCATCCTAGTAGAAACATACTATTATGGATATTGACAATCCTAACTGATGTACAATGTATAAGAACAACAATATTTATGGACTATAAAACGGGTCACTATAGGGTTTTGTCTACAATTGAGGAACACATATAATATATAAGAAATTGTGAATGTTTGAATGCTCATATAATAAACCAAGGAATATCGAACTCCTATATCAGGTCATCCCAAACTTTTGATTCAACCTCGAACAATCTGGTGGATTCGTTCCATGCAAAGCTACTAAGCCTGGCAAAAAGGTCATGAACATCTCACCACATATCATTCAAGCTCTTTTGCCTATTTTGACATTATTTTTTGTAATACCCACCAATTCAGATTGTTAGAGGGACTCTACAATGTTATTATAGGTCTGTGTAGTCCAACTACCCTCAACTCGATTGCCCAAACGGGTCTCATCAACCATGGCTATTAGTAGGCGTAAGTTCATGTTTGTTGTCCATTTAGTAAAGTCTCTAATACCTACACCTACAGATGACTCAAGACCAATACTCTTGCCTCTATTCATGATTAACCTATTCAAAACACAACTTCTCAAAACATTTTAACACTATCATGTGTAAATATGGTTAAAAAAAACTAACTAAATAAGTCATTAAAATCCAACATAATATTTGTATATTAAAGTAACAAGTACAATATATTATTTATTTTTATAATCTTTTCACATACTGTTTGCAATAAAATCTCAAAAGTTTGACCCTAACCTATAATCATTATTTCGATCTTGAGTGTCAGATGGGTGCACATTTTATTCCATCAACCTCAGTTATCAAGGAGCCATCATTGTCCACTCCACGAAGATAATTGTAAGAATACAACATACTAAGGTAATTTTTGTCATCGACTCCAATGAGTAATGTGGTTCAGTTCCACTCGCTATGATTTGGAATCGTTTATTGAAAATACCAAATGTCCTTTCAATAACATTTCTAAGTGATGAGTAATGAACATTGAACAACCCTCTTGGATTTTGTGGACCTCTTTGAATGTACTCTTTTAAGTGATATCTGACGCTACAATACAATGTTATTATATTTGACTTTAACATAAAAGCAGCATCCCCAATGTAGTATTTTCCTACAATCATTGTACTTAACATTATTTCAATGAGTTTTAAGTGACCACAAATCAAGTCCACCAAATTCTATACAACTAATCTTGTGGAATAATGAATGGATCCTTTCAAATAAAGACATCCTTTAAAATTCGTGAATCAAATGTAATTCCTTCCCACTCAACTAACACATATGTTAACTTCATATCAAAATCTCATGCTACAAATATGTTTTATGTTAACCACTTTTTTCTTTCATAATAATGAGGAACATCTACTTTTGGAACCCTAACACGTACATGAGTGTCATCTATTGCCCCTAAACAATCTTAAAGGATAAAAAAATTATGAGTATGAATTACAAGTAAACATTATGTACGTAAAATTATATTTGAGTTTGGACTATATTATCTTGAAATATGGATAAAATTGACTATTGTTAAAAACATGAGGTTGGACTTTAGTCTTAGATTGAATTAAGAATTCCACCTCCAACATCAATATTGCATTCAACACATTATGAGAATGTTTAGAAATATTTTCCCTAAAATAATGAGAAAAAAATGACACACTTCTATGCTTGACATTATGTCCAATAATGTGAAGAAATTTAACTACTTATTATTAGACAGTTGATCGAAATACATCTTTTACTAACCTAATTACTTGTAATATTTCACACAACATAATAAATGTTTGCAATCTCATTCAAATAATGTCACACGATTGTTCTATGTGCAATAAATATGACATAAACTCTTATCAACGACACTCTTTTTGGGAAACAAACTTTGAAATATTTGGAATTGAGAGACGTAATATATTCAGTGCAAAAACAACAATGCAAATGATAATTAATGTTTATTTGATATGAAGTTTATTTGTTATTGTAAGTATTGAATTAAATTAAAGTCCTCGCCAAAAATACTGTTATCAAAATTTTCATTAGCAAAAAACTCTAACCAATCATTTGTGCCATTTTACAACACCTTTACAAAATATATCCTATCATTTAAAAACTTATTATTAATTTTATTTAACTTAACTAGGTAAAGACAAATTCTTAATTATATTTTATAATTCAATAGTTAATATGATATTTTATGATTCAAGTTATAATTCTAATTTAAATAATATAATATTAAATTAATGATAAGTTAATATATATTTATAATAGATTACATATTCATTAATTTTTAATATTATATATAAACCTAATCTAATTTTATATTTACCTAAATACAATAAATTTTAACCCTAATTTAATTTTATATTTAATAATTTGTATTAACCTAAGTAAAATAATTTTTATACCTAATCTAACTCACTTAAAAACCTACGCTAATCTCACCTAAAATATTTTAAACATAATCTAACTTAAACATATAGAATATTATTATAGTTTTTCCTTATCTCCCTACAAAATGTTTTTAACACAAATCTAAATCATACAAAATTTAACATAATTAACAATCATTATCCCTTAAAATAATAAACTTATTCTTATCTCCTTTCAAATTTTTTTAACACACATGTATTAAATCATTATCATACAAATTTAAACATAATTAACTCAAAATCAAATCATAATCATACACATTTAAACAATAAGACAACAACTCACCAACATTACCTAATTCACCACTGACAGCACCACAGGGTCACCACCAATGCCACCAACACCACAACACGTGGACCATCACCAGCACAAGCAACACCAACACCAACACACAAACACCACAATAACCACACGACGAGCACGACCGAGGCCCACAACCATGAACACCGCACCACTAAGCTAACGACACATGTCATGAAGGCATAACCACATAACAAAGGAGACAATAACCACCAACAACCAACACAACAAAGGAGACAATGACCACCATGAATCACCAATTCCCATGTACAACCTACAATACAATACAACACAAAACACATGAATCCCTGTTGCCAACACAAATCACCACACACACGAGAATCGATTCTTGTCCACATAAAACGTGGTCGAGAATCGATTTTGTGACGAACGGAGACCAATAATCGATTATGGTTTAACGGAGAATCAATTCTCCATACAGTCAAAAGAAGCGAGAATCGATTCTCTATTCATTAAAAGAAAGTGAGAATTGATTCTCGATTTATCACCTCTTAAAGAATCAATTATAATTTGTGGATCAAGAATCAATTTTCTCTCACCCAGAATTGATTCTCTTTGCCTCTCTTAACCACTCTCAGCCAACACACACAAAACCACCACCACAAACTCATTCTCACACACAAATGTCTAACAATACACGACCATGAACACCTCTTCTCACGTATTTAATGACAACTTCAAGTTGGGTGATGAGAACTATAGTTGCATGTGCTTCAACTGAGACGATTCCTTACCATGAAAAGGATGCATGCAAAGCCACACAAAGGAATCCTTGTCAACGACTGTTGTGGGATTCTATGCACAGTAGTTCATGTGAGACAAATGGATGAGGGTAAGACCGTCATTGCACCCTCCTTTCCCTGTCATTTTTTCGTTCTTCTCCTTAATGTAATGGGGTTCTTCATCCGCATTCTCCCTTAAATCATTTGCACTTCTCCTCAAATTGGTGAATACAAACATAAAAATTTGTGTTCTTCCATCTACATAAATAATCCATCAACAAATGCAAACATAGAATAGGTAACTCATTAACAACCCCAACTCTTTCACGACATGTAATCACGTCCTTCAAAAGTAGAATGACAATGCGACTGACGATTCTATTTGTTTCATTCTACGTTTGGTTCGAAAGAGAGGATATGTTGAATATAATGATCCGTCAAGGTAGTGCATAATAATTAAAAAATAAATTTGAAAAATTATTATATAAGGAATATATTGGTTATCTTTTTTTTCTTAATTTTAATTTCTAAAAATTTAAATAAAATATAATAAAAATAATTTTTTTAAAATTTTATTTGGATTAAGAAAAAAGAGAGTAAAAAATAAAATAAATTTATTTATTATTAATATTTTTTATTATGTAAATTTATTTCTAAGATATTTTTGTTATTATTTATTATTATAGTAAAAAATAATTATTAAATTTTTTTGGACATTATGACTTTTATATAATCTATTACGTATGGGATAAACCAAAGACGTGAAGTAGAGGGATGTCATGAAAGAACTGCTCCCCTTTGAATTAATAAATCTCATGGGAGCAGCTTTGATTATCTTTTTGTTTCTTCTTACTAGTTTTCAATTATAATGTAGAAGAGCAGCTGTGAAATGACGATTCTCCCTTTCCATTGATTGAAGAAGGGGAACCCCTTCCTCACCGTTTCGACCTATTTTTAGGGGGATTTTACCTATGGTCAAGCCACCCACCCATTCGAGAAGCTAGTAGCCAGAAAGAAACGACAAGGATGCGATGCGAAACTGTCTACCAAACTTCTTTCCGTCAACTGGTTAAGAAAAGTTCAGGTTATGAAATTCTTAACCATCAATTAAATTCAGTATTAATGAGACATCGGTGACGATTGTGTCAAAGTATTATGTCTAAAATTTTCAATTTTCTTCGTTCTTCTTACGAAGATAATTTTTTGTCTTGATTTTATAATTTTTTTACTAAAATACGTAAAATGATCGCATTCGAGTGTTGTCGTGTTACCATGTTGAAAACAAACATAAGTTTAAAGAGATAATTTAGTTCTTTGCTTTGTTTTCTGGATATCTCCCTCTTTATTCGATAAATTTACTCTTTAATTTTATAATTTTTAAAGATAAGATTGATATTTGTTTGACCATAATTAATTTTAAATCGAATTAAAAAATAATTAAAATAAAATCTTATTTCGAATAATAATTTAAAATTAATAAATAATAATGTATTAAATGAACCAACAATGAAAATGAGAATATATAAATAATTTATTAATTTTAATATTTTAAAAAATAAAATTATGCTATTATTCAACCTGCTCCGTCCAGTTTGGCCTTCGTAGGCTTTTACAGATTGTGCAAAACGGGTCGACTGAAGATTGAGAATGCCTAATACACCCCATATTTTTCTCCAGATTATGCAGAATGGGTCTAACTGACTGCAGATTGAGAATGTCTAGAACGTCCCATATTTTTCATCACAGGCCTGCGGACTGACCGTGCAGCTGCCCCGTGTTTCGACCCCTACTCGAAGTTAAAACGTTGTAGTGTAATTGTACCCTCGGCAGCAACTAGAAACCCTAAACTAAAACCAAAAAAAAGCAGAGAACAACAAGAGAGAAGCCATGAGAAGTAGAGGCAGAGTGCTTCTTAGCCTCTCTTTTTCTCTGCTCTCACCTGTAAAGCACAACCCTTTAGCAAAATCAGCACCACCCACGTCTTTATTTCGAAGTGACATCAAATTCTCAACCTCTTCCTCATCGATAACCCCTCCTATTGAAGAACCAAAGACTTCATCGTCCAAGTCCCAAAGGGATTCACTGATTTTGGAACAGTTCAAGCAAAGAAAACTCAAAGGGTCCCCACAAGACTCAAAGGGTGCCCCTCAAGTGGATTCAACTTCATTGCCATTAAGTTCGGATGCTAATACTGAGAAGGTGGTCGAAAAGGGTGTGCAGAATGAGAATGAACCCACCATGGTGGTTAGAAGTTTCAAGGAGTTGGGTGTGAGTGAGGACCTTGTTGAGGTCATGGAGGAGATTGGGGAGTTTGTTCCTAGTGAGATACAGTGTGTGGTTATTCCTGCCATCTTGGAGGGGAAGAGTGTGTTATTGAGTTCACCATCTGAACCTGACAGAACTTTGGCATTCTTGTTGCCCCTTATTCAGGTGAGTTTAATTCTATTCATTTTCCTTCCAAGGAATTGATTTTTGAGCCTTTGCAACAACTTCCTTCAGATGGGTGGATACAAGATACTGGAATTTGGAAATGCATTCACTTTGTAAGCTGGCTTAAATTTATTTCTTTGGTATTTCACTTAGTGAATATGACTATTGTTGTTGGGTTGTTTATCTTGTATTGGTATGACTTTCAGTTTGATAGAAAAAACTGGAATTTTGTTACTTAGAGAAAGTGATATCAAAAGAAATTAGTTCCTACCTACCCACTTTATCCGTGTCGATGACAATCCGCTGATACTCCTTCTAGTCATAGCGATGACATGCTTTATCAGACCCTAGATTATGATGCACTAGAACCAAATGATCTTTCTCAGACGCCGACCATAAAATTGGAACGGGTGATACTCGGTTATCCTATCCTTCTTCTAGTGGACAACGAAGCTACCCACAATTTCATAGCTTGTGAATTTGTTAGTTCGTTTAACTCGAAGGTTACCCCCACTCGTTCATTTTATGCGGGACTAGGTAATGGCTCAAAATGTTCATCTCAAGGAATATGCAGAGCCATTCGTGTCAAGATTGATCGCTACACAACAGTGGTGAATACCTATGTGTTAGTTAGACTTGGGTGGTATTGATCTGATTTTGGGATAGCTTGGTTAGAAAATGTGGGGCAACCAACTATTGATTGGTGGAAGAAGATAGTGACATTTGAGGATTAGGGCCACCTCGTCACTTTATAAGACCACCATCTTCACGATAAACATCACACTCCAACCCTTCGAGGAATGTCCCAGGGCTTAACTCTAGTCGATACCCTTTACAATCCATCTCATTGTTCTCTTCCACAGGACTTACAAATTGTTCTTTCTCAGCATGAGTCCATATTCCTTCCACGACAAGGACTTCCAACCAAGCGTGCGTACAACCATTCCATTAATTTGCTGCCTGGTACTAACCAGTTAGTGTGCAACCATATTGTTACGCTCTCCACCATAAAGATGAGATTGAAGGCCAAGTCCAAGAGCTCCTTGATAAGGGTGTTATTTGTCACTCAATTAGTCCATTTTTTAGTCCGATTATCTTGGTAAAGAAGACTCCTGAAGAATGTGTGTTGACTTTCAGGTCCTTAACAAGGTCACAATATTAGAGAAATATCCTATTCTCACCATCAACGAAATCATTGATGAGGTCCATGGTTCTCAAATCTTCTCAAAGATCGATTTGAAATATGGGTTTCATCAAATCCGCATGGTGGAATTTGACATTTCGAGTTAACAAATCACCAACAACTTTATAATTGATAGCATTGTCAGTTATAATTTGGACAACGTTCTCTTCACCAACGTCATCCAACATATTGTAAATTTTATTAGCTGTTTTTTAGATGACAGATGCATCAATAGATTTTAGAAAAACATTTCCTTTTGGCCTGTTTACTAAAAAGTTCAAGATAGTCCTTCTCCTTTTGTCAGTCCATCCTTTAGTCATTATAGTGGAACCTGTTTCCTTCCATGTAACCTTGTGAACTTCCAAAGTATGTCTTGTTGCCTTAACATCTTCCTTTAAGTGCTTAACTCTGATTTCATGGTATGAAGGTGGTTTAAATCCTGGACCATAATTTGAATCAAGCATCCTCTTAAATCCTTTGCTCCCACATTAAATGGTATGACATTTTATGGAAAAATTTAGTTACATCTCTACAAGTACTTTTTCTTTGATTCTTCTTGAACATTTGATGAATGGTTGCTTGTGAGCTTATTGCTCTCTTCTTGAAAATATTTCTACCAATGCCAACGTCTTCCTCTTCTGTCATTTTTCTTTTTTCAATTTCAAAATCAACTTCCTCATCAAGCCTTGCTTTTTTTAATTAATCTTTGTTGCAGACCTACAACAATCTCAAATATTTCCCTTTTTCACTTCTTCAGTCACACTTTTACAAGCAACTAAGTCCTTTTGAGTTCCCGTCAAGTGGTGCTTCAAGCGATAAACCCCGCCAGATATGATCTTTTGACAAAATTTGCATTGAATTTTTCTTGGATCTCCATCAACACATTCCATGCTTCCAAGCCATGTCTGTAGTACTGCCCAAAACATTTTTTGCCATTTTCTTAAACCGAATATTTTCTGAGGAGGGAGTGTCATCATTAGAGGGAGCATTAGAAGCCCCAACACCAATGGAAGACATTAGAGTAGTATGTAAAAACTAAGCAAACCATATTGCACACATGAAATAAATAGACTGAACAATTTATTTTTTATTTTTTTCATTGTTCTGAAACATTACATGGTTTATGAGAACAATTTATTATTATTTTTTTTTTCACTTTTATGAAACGTTACATGTTCTGTAAGCTGAACAATTTATTTTTGAAAAGAACACATCATAAATTTGGAGAGAAGAAGCGTTTCAAACTATGAGAGGAATCCAAACAGTTTTTTTTGTTCCACTGTTTTAAACGCATGACCAACCCACGTCGACGGACCAACTTGCGACTCATGATGCATCCGCGACCCGCAACGCAACCCACGACCCGCAACACAACCTTGTGACCCACAACGCAGCCCATCCTGCGACGTAGCCTGAAATGGAACTAAGATCAAGGTTCGGCGATTTCTCCGATCTTGGACGACATTTTGAATGATTGCACATTGTTCTGAGTTCGCCTGAGATTTGTCACAGTGCTTGGGTGCAAAATAGTGGAATTGGACAATTCCATGATTTAGATCGCGATTTTGACTACCTTGGGAACATGCATTCGCAATGCTCAAGCAATGTTTAGCCTCTTTCCCGGTCTTACAGTCCTAGATTTTTCTCAAGAATTTTTGATTGAGTGTGATGCTTTAGGATGCGGCATTGGTGGTGTCTTGATGTAGAATTGCCAACCCATAGCCTACTTCAACAAAGCTTTATCTCCCAAGAAACAGGCTAAATCATTTTATGAAAAAGAGATCTTGGCCCTAGCATTATCGGTGCAACATTGGCGACGATATCTTTTGGGTCGAAGCTGAAAAGTTTACACGGATAATAGTAGTTTGCGTCATCTGCTACAACGTCTCCACTATTGATCAATAATGTTTGGTGAAACTCATGGGTTTCCAGTTCGAAGTAGTATATAAGCCTGGACTAGAAAACAAGGCTGCCAATGCTACTTTCAAGACAAATGGGATTAGGTGAGTTAGAGACTATTTCTATCAGTCCCCTATGGTTAGATTTTCCTACCTTTTGCACTAAGATCCAAAAAAACTGAGAGCTTAGCCAAATGTTAGCTCAAACTCAAGCGGATACTGCTTCAGTTACACATTATATTCAACAGGACGTTCTTCTTTTTTTCGAAAGGCGCTTGGTATTATCTAAAACTTCTATGTTAATTCAATCACTCTAGACTGAGTTTCACTCCATAGTAGTTGGTGGACATTTTGGGTTTACTAAAACTTACAAACGTCTACCTGCCAATTTTTATTGAGGATGAGCCTATCATATCACCCTCAGATTGATGACCAAACTGAGGTTGTGAATAGGTGCTTGGAGATTTATTTGCATTGCTTTGCTTCAGAACAACAATGAAGATAGCATTTATGGCTTTCATGGCAAAATATTGCTACAATTCATTTTTCCATTCAGCACAGGGTAGATACCTTTTGAGGTGGTTTATGGTTGACCACGTCCTTGTGTCATGCGTTTTCTACCATAGAAGACACAAGTGGATTATGTAATGTCGGTTTGAGTTGATAAAGATGAGGCTATTTGCCAATTGAAGTTCCATCTTCAAAGGGCCCAACAATCCATGAAAAAGGCAATCGATAAGCATAGTCGGGTGGTAACATTTGAAGAGGGAGATTGAGTTTTTATGACGTTGCGCCCCTATAAATAGTAGACAGTAGCTCATCGAATAAATACTAAACTTTCACCTTCATATTTTGGACCCTTCCAAATTGTTGCACGGGTCTTTGAGATAGCTTATAGATTGAAGCTTCCAGATTTTGCTAAGGCTCATCCAGATTTTCATGTATCATAGCTCAAAAAATCCTTTACAGTTGGTTCTAATGCTGTCTCATTGCCTCTGTGTCTAACCATGGATGACATGGATGCACCATTTCCTGAAGCTATGTTAGCAACTCGTGAAGGAAAAGCTATAGGGGATGATGAGAAATTGTTGGTTTTATGGAAATCACAAACAATAGAGGAAGCCACATGGGAGTCAGCTTCATCAATTAGTGCCAGATTTCCTACTTTTAGCCTTGAGAACAAGGCTAATTTGTTAGGGGAGGTATTGTTAGGAAATAGGGCCCTATTAGAGATAAGTCCTTTAATATTTGGGGAGCCTTGACTCTTGGTCTCTTTTCCTCTTCAATACCTTTTGTTGTTATTTTCCTGATTGCAGGTTCCTTGATATTTTACAAATCAGTTTGCAATCATTTATATACTATAGTTTAGTCAAATAAATATGAGATTTCCAACAGGTTTGAATAGTTTGGCATTTTTAAAGTTAGTGACATACACATACTTATTTATCTTCATTTTCATCACCTCAACACAAGTAATGACAACTGTTACCTACTTTTACTGTTCTGTTCCTTCCATGTTTATTATTTCCTTTAGAAAAAAAATGGATTAAATAAGTCAACTTGTGCAGTTGCTAAAACGTGATAGAGAGTTGCTTGGTTCAAGTTCAAAACATCCGCAAGCAATCGTGCTTTGTGCTACGGAGGAGAAAGCTGCACAGGTCACCCAATTTTTAATATTTACTAACACCACCTTGTCTATTTAGTTCTGTAAAGTACCTTCCTGGAATTTATGGCTGGTTCGTGTTCCTTTTAAAATTTATTGGCATTGCAGTGCTTCAATGCTGCAAAATATATCATAGATAACACAAAATTGAAGTCTGCAAAGGATTGTGCTTCGCCAGATAATGGGCAGTCACAACCCTCAATTGGCCTAATGATTGGAACTCCTTGTGAGATTTTTCAATACATTGAAGATGAGAGCATTGTTCCTTCTGGAATAAGATACTTGGTTAGTAATTAGTGTCACTTATAATATTTGTGATAGTTTATGTAGAGGCTCTCAGGTTACCTGTTCTTGGGAGCTCCTATCATTGATCATAGTACTCTTTTTCATGCTTCTGGAGTAGGTGTTGGATGAGGCAGATTGCATGCTTGGTAGTGGCCTTAGTCATGAAATTCATAAAATTCTCAGACCATTACAAGATCATGGATCGAAATCTGCTGTCAAAAGATTACAAACTATTTTGGCCATTTCAACCATGGCTGAGGTATGATGATCAATTAAGTTGTTTTAGTATTTGATTCTTGCATGAAGGTAACAAGCGTAGACCCCCATCATAATACTAGTTATGTCTCTGATTTATCTTTTTTCATGACAGGTTTTGGGTGAAGAATCCCCCATTGTAAAGCATCTTGAGTGCCATCATGCGGGAAATATTTCTGCTATGTCTTTAGAAATGGAACAAACAGAAGTCTTTCATTTCACAGAATCTCTTCATGCTCTTAGGAAAAAATTGGAAGAGGCCATGAGTTCCCTTTTGCAAGTAACATCTTGATCTACAATTTCTCTGACAAAAGAAAAGTCAAAAGAGGTTTATGATCTCTTTAGAGCAACTAACTGTGAAGTTGGTTGTGGCTTTGTATGTTATTGTCATGTTCTTCTAACACTGAATCCCCAAATACCAGGCTTTCCTTATTATCATAATTTACAAAATCCTATTGAATGAATATATATATATATATATATATATATATATATATATATATATATATATATATATATATATATATATATATTACTTGATGTATAGATTTTGGGTCCTAGTATCGGTTAGTTGTAAATGAGAGTATTACGCATTCATATCTAGGAGGGAATTAACTGGAGTGGTATTTCAAAAGGCAAAGAATTCCACCTAATTCAGTTTTAATTTTTTTTATATGGTTTTTAACCAACTTGATTGATAAGCCTCTTAAAGAATTTTCTTACACTTCAGTCTCTAGAGTTTTTATTTTTTCTTCTGTTGGACAAGTTAGTTCTTCCTATCTCTATTAATAGAAGGTTATATCCTCAACTATTATGAGGATGGTCGATCTTATTCTATTGTTTGTGATGTGAGTTAAGTGAGTGAGAATAAGGTATTATCATTTTGTTTTATAATTAAAAAAATCTCACCATATTCACATTTATTTTCTGATGCACCGATACGATGGCAAGCCTAATATATCCGTATCAGATATGTAAATGATACCGATTCACCTTCATACTTAAAAATTCGTATAGAAAAAGAAAAAAAATACAAAAAATAAAATAAAATAATAAATATTCTTTTGTTATTATCACCGTTATAATAATCAAATCAGACATGAAAATTATTATTTGGACTAACAATATTATTTCTTGATGAATTAGATATGAGGTTATTATTTGGACTAATAACATTATTTTTTGATGAATTAGATATAGATGCTATTTTATTTATTGATGATGTTTAAAGAGGAAATGAAATTGATACTATATCTATTATTAATTAATAAATAATTATTGTTCACTTTTGTTTATATATATATATATATATATATATATATATTAAATATATCGTATTTTATATTTTTTAATATAAGATGAATTATAGTATCAATCCGAAACTCGAATCATATTTATGCATATCTATGCATCATAATGGTTTAGTTAAGTCATAACTCATTTTGACAGTCTTTGAAATTTCGAGCTTGAACCACATTGGTTCCATTCCCACTTAATGTAATAACAGAATAAACAAAACTATCCTAAGTTTGACATATTCATCAAAAACATCGACAGGACTATTCCCATTAGATTACACAACTCTTGCCTCCGTTAAATTATACTAAGTATTCTAATCAAATAATTCTGAGAGAAAATATTTTTGTTATATTTTTTTATGCTAAATGTCTTAAATATACACAATTTTGTATAAAATTATTAACCTCAAATATTCTACAAATTCTCTTACTTTATTACGAGAAATTAATCTTAAATAATTGTGAATTAATCACAATTAATTTATACAAATCATAATGGGTACAAATCTATACAATCTATAGGTCATAACTTTGTCCGCAATATTTGCAATTAATCAAAATTAATTCATTGAGATCATAATCTCTATAGTTGATCACAATTTGAATTTCATTTATAATATCTGTAATACCCTATCTTAAATTGGTACATTTGTATATGAAGATTTCAAATATCTAACTTGTCAAGCAGGGGAGAAAATTGTGCATGTCTTAAAGTTTTGGTAAATATGTTTGCAAGTTGTGTATGAGTGAGAATATAAAATGATTGTAAGTGTCCATGAAGTATCTTATTATGAATAAAATAACAGTATATTTTAATATGTTTAGTGTGTTAATGAAATATGAGATTCTTAACCATGTGTAAAGTAGCTTGACTATGATAACAATGACACATGTGCGTGGAATGAAAAATACCCAAGGTCAAAGAGAATGCTTTTTATCCACTTTAATTCATATGTGATAATAGCCATTGAATGATATTCTGCTTCAGTCATGAAACATGATATTATATGTTGTTTCTTTCTCTTCCAAGAAATAGGATAATTCCCCAAGAAAATAATCCAACCTGCAAGAGATCTATGAGTAAGAGGACATGTTGCCCAATATACATCACACCATCTGTCAATTTTCATATTGCTAAACTATCTAAGATAATCCCTTGTCTAGGATTTCCTTTCAGATAACAAACAACACGAAGAACAACTTCCCAATGTTCCATGCATCGCTATTGCATAAATTGTGAAAGAACATGCACACAATACACCAATTCAAGTCCAGTAAAACACAAATTAATCAGTTGACCAACCAAATGTATAATTTGATTGGGATTAGAAAGAAGTTTGCCTTTAACAAGACCAATATGATGTTTTTGTTTCATTGGTATAAACATAGGCTTTGCTCCAAGTAGTCAAGTTCCACTAATTATGTCTAAAACATATTTTCTTTGACATAAGAAAATGCCAGCAGGTGATTTAGCCACTTGCTCTTAAGAAATATTTCAATTTTCCCAAATCTTTCATTTGAAAACATTTGCTCAAGTAATCTTTGACATATTTGATAGCTTTATGATTATTTCCACATATGATTAGATAATCAACATAAACTATAGATGCTAAGTTGCGTTAAACTATTTTGTAGAGTAAATAATGAATAATATTTAAATCCATATTGTTTCATGGAACTAACCAATTTGAGAAACCAACATTTAGGAGCTTGTTTTAAACCATATAGGGACTTTTGAAGACAACACACTTGGTTTGAATTATGAGAGGCGAAAGCCTCGGACAACTTCATGTACACTTCTTCTTCAAGATCACCATGCAAGAATGTTTTGTGAACATCCATTTGATGAAGTTCCCAATTTTTTATTACAACAACTACTATTATAATTCGAACGATAACCATTTTTGCTACTGGATGTCTTTGTGTAATCAACTCTTTCAACTTGATGATTTTCAAGTACGACTAATCAAGCTTTAAAACATTTTATAGTTCCATCTGAATTGTATTTAATCTTATATACCCATTTGCATCCCAATGCCTTCTTGTCTTTTGGTAAATGACACATTGTCTAAGTTACGCTTGTATTTCTTGTCTCATTGTTGAGCGCCATCACTACAAAAAAAATTAATTATAGTGATATAAATATTTATCACTAAAAATTATAAATTCATCACTATTAATATCTTGTAACAATAATTTGATTGTCACTTATACCCATGTCACTAATGTAATTGTAACAATATTTTTAAATATCACTAAAATTAAGCTTTATAGTAACAAAAATATTTAACACTAATAATTATATATAATAGTAATAATAATAAATTGTCACAAATATAATACACAATAGTGATAAATAAAGTTACCACTATTAAAAATTTATAAAAAAATAATTATTTCAATATCACAAATATTTAAAAAATACAATAATAAATTAATTATTATTTATAATTTATAGAAATAATTATTATTAATTTAATGTCCCAAATAAATAATAGTAATTATTTATCATTATTATAATTTCTAAAATAATAATAATTATTATTTTAATTTCAGAATATATATATATATATATATATATATATATATATATATATATATATATGAATAAAGATAATAGTAAATTAATTATTATTTTTTATATTTTTTTATACTAACAATAATAAGAATAATTTTTAATATTAATATTTGCTGTTATTATTAATTTTTAAAGTTATTATTAATTTTTAAAAGTATTATTTAATCATTAAATTATTAAATATAAATAATATACAAGTCTTCTAAGTTTGCTTAGTTATAATGAATAAATAAATTATTTTGAAATATTAAAATAAACAAATATGTAAACATAAATTATCCATTACATTATAAATGATAACAACTAAAACACAATAAATATTTAACAAGATTCTAAATTCAAAGATGATAAACAACTGTATATATTTTTAGTCCAAACTGTTACAATTAAATAACTATTTCTAAAATAAAAAAATAATAACAACTTGAACTATCTTCAACGAATTTGATCTTGCAAAATGAAATAAAAAATAATTAGTATTAATAAAAAATAATTAACAATATTTTAGATATATAAATATGTAAACTAAAAATATTTGGAGATATTTTAGTGAAAAAATTAAAATAGTCAAACAACTTACTTCATTTGAGAGAACAGTTAAATCATTAGATATTCCTGTGAATGATAAACTACCTAATAAAATAGACATTTGACGTTTCATTTCTTTTTCAATATTTTGCTTCGTATTAATCTGTTGAACTTCAAGTTGAGATTGCAATTCACTTTGAAGTTGAATATTAGTATTAGTCAATCTTTGCGCTTGTATCTCTAAATCATTTGCTTTTTTTGTTCATCTTCCAATTGACTTTGAACAAATTGTTTCTCCATAACTTTTTTGGTCATTGATGAGGTGCCTATACCTTGTGAGTGATTTGGTTTTGTTCCTAATACAAATTGAAAATGTTTAACTAATGGAATATGTGCTTCTGAAATTTCCTCTTTGTATACTTCACCAACATTCTTCAAATTGTCCTATAAAATATTAAGAAAAAATAATTTACATTATAAATATGTCATAATATACTAATAGTTTAAGTTAAATTATTTTTAATTACCATGATTTCTTCTCCATTTAAAATACATCATGTTCCATCGGATCTCATGCGTGTAGCCTTCCATACTTCTACAGCATTTGGCCATTCGTCGTTCTTTAATTGTCCTTGAATAACTTGTTGGTTCTCTTTCAGTAGTTATTGTTACAAGGAACATGCGATGCTTCAAAGAAAATTTATCACAATTCACATGATGTGTTATGAGATAGGGTTCACTCGAATTATGTTGTGGAGTGGATGAACAACTGGATGAACTTTTTACTTTAATCGTATTAGCCACATACTCTAGAAGTTTCACAGGAGGAATCACTACTAGAAAAATGTCAAATAGTAACCGAAATCGATGACCGAAAAATTTAGTTAC